AAAAATAAAATAAGTAAAATATCAGGAAGGTAAATTACCTTTGTCTATCAGATTAGGCTAAAAAAACTTTATATCAAGATACAACCTTTTATATCAAGTTTGGAAGTTTTGGCAAATGCTCCTACTGTCATAGAGTATTATAATACCTGCTGTATTAGTCCATTCTCAACTTGCTATCAAGAACTACCTCAGACTGGGTACTTTATGAAGAAAACAGGTTTAACTGTCTCACAGTTCCACGGGCTGTATAGGAAGTATGACTGGGAGGCCTCAGGAAACTTATGATCATGGCATAAGGTGAAAGGAAGTAAGCAGTCTTCACATCATGGCAAGACAGAGCATGAAGAGGTAAGTGCTACACACTTTTAAACAATCAAATCTCATGAGAATTCACTTACAAGACTGCACTAGGAAGATTGTGTTAAACCATTAGAAACCATCCCCCATGATCTAATCACTTCCCACCAGGCCCCACCTCTAACATTCAGGATCACAATTCAACAAGGGATTTGGGTGGCAACACAGAACCAAACCATATCATTCTGCCCCTAACCCCTCCCAAATCTCGTGTCCTTCTCATTTTTCAAAACTAATCATGCCTTTCCAACAGTCCCCAAAGGTCTTAACTCATTCCAGCATTAACTCCAAAGTCTAACTCCAAAGTCTCATCTGAGACAAGCAAATCCCTCCCAGTTGAGGCCACAAAATCAAAAACAAGTTAGTTAATTTCAAGATAAAATGGGGATACAGGCATTAGGTAAATGTTCTGTTTCAAAAAGGGAGAAATTGGCCAAAACAAAGGGCCTACAAGGCTCCATGCAAGTCTGAAACCCAGCAGGGCAGTTATTAAATTTTAAAGTTCCTAAATTATTTTCTTTGACTCCATGTCTCATATCCAGGGCATGCGGATGCAAGGGGTGGGCTCCCATGGCCTTGGGCAGTTCCACCCCTGTGGCTCTGCAGGGTATAGCCCCCTCAACTGCTTTTATGGACTAGTGTTGACTGCCTGACACTTTTCCAGGTGCACAGTGCAAGATGTTGCTATATCTACCTTTCTGGAGCTAACATGGTTTGGCTCTGTGTCCCCATCCAAGTCTTCTCTCAAATTGTACTCCCATGATTCGCACATGTTCTGGGAGTGACCCAGTGGGAGATAATTGAATCATGGGGGCAATTTCCTCCTTACTGGTCCCATGAAAATGAATAAGTATCACAAGATCTGATGGTTTCATAAAGAGGCGTTCTCCTGCACAAGCTCTCTCTCTTTGCCTCCTACCATCCATGTAAGATGTGACTTGTTCCTCCTTGCTTTTCACCATGATTGTGAGGCTTACCCAGCCATGTAGGACTATAAATTCAATTAAACCTCTTTCTTGTGTAAATAGTCCACTCTTGGGTATGTCTTTATCAGCAGCATGAAAATTGACTAATACAGTAAATTGGTACCAGTAGAGTGGGGTGTTGTTGAGAAGATACCTGAAAATATGGAAGTGACTTTGGAACTGGGTAACAGGCAGATGTTGGAACAGTTTGCAGGGCTCAGAAGAAAAGAAGAAAATGTGGGAAAGTTGGAACTTCCTAGATACTTGTTGAATGGCTTTGGCCAAAAGCCTGACAGTGATAAGGACAATAAGGTCCAGGCTGAGGTAGTCTCAGATGGAGATGAGGAACTTGTTGTGAACTGGAGAAAAGGTTACTCTTGTTATGTTTTAGCAAAGAGACTGGTGGCATTTTGCCCCTGCTCGAGAGATTTGTGGAACTCTGAATTTGAGAGAGATGATTTTGGGTATCTGGCAGAAAAAATTTCTAAGCAGCAAAGCATTCAAGAGATGACTTGGGTGCTGTTAAAAACATTCCTGCTCGCCAGGCACGGTGGCTCACGCCTGTAATCCCAGCACTTTGGGAGGCCGAGGTGGGTGGATCATGAGGTCAAGAGATCGAGACCATCCTGGTCAACATGGTGAAACCCCGTCTCTACTAAAAATGCAAAAAATTAGCTGGGTGTGGTGGCACATGCATGTAATCCCAGCTACTCAGGAGGCTGAGGCAGGAGAATTGCCTGAACCCAGGAGGTGGAGGTTGCGGTGAGCCGAGATCGCGCCATTGCACTCCAGCCTGGGTAACAAGAGCGAAACTCCGTCTCAAAAAAAAAAAAAACACAAAAAACAAAAAACATTCCTGCTCTGTTTCTGTAAAGCAGGGACTCAGGCTGCCAGTCTCTTTACTAAAGCATAGTAACAGTGACCTTCACTCCAGTTCCCAGTAAGTTCCTCATCTGCATCTAATACCACCTCAGCCTGCACTTCATTGTCCATATCACTATCAGCATTTTGGTCACAATCATTCAACAAGTCTCTAGGAACTTCCAAACTTTCTCTCATCTTCCTGTCTTCTTCTGAGCCCTCCAATGTTTTAACCTCTGTCTGTTAACCCAGTTCCAAAGTTGCTTCCACATTTTCAGGTATCTTTATAGCAATGCATCACTCCCAGTACCAATTTTCTGTACTGGTCCTATCTCACATTGCTATGAAGAACTATCTAAGACTGGGTAATTTATAAAGAAAACAGGTTTAATTGACTCACAGTCCCACAGGCTGTATAGAAAGCATGGCTGAGGAGGGCTCAGGAAACTTACAATCATGGTAAAAGGCAAAGGGGAGGCAAGGCACATCTTCACATGACAGCAGGAAAGAGAGTGAAGGGGAAGGTGCTACACATTTTAAAACAACCAGATCTCATGAGAACTCACTCAGTATCATAAGAACAGCAAGGAGGAAATCCAATCCCCCTTGATCCAATCACATCCCACCAGGTCCCTCTCCAAACACTGGGAATTACAATTTGACATGAGATTTGGGTAGGGAGACAGCCAAACTATCTTGACCTCTTAGCCATTTGTATGTCTTCTTTTGAGAAATGTCTATTCATAATCTTTGCCCATTTTAAAATCAGATTATTAGAGCATTTTTTTTCTATTGAGTTGTTTGAGCTTCTTATATATTCTGGTTATTAATCTCTTGTTAGATGGATAATTTGCAAATACTGTCTCCCATTCTGTGGGTTGTCTCTTCACTATTTTCTTTTGCTGTGCAGAAGCTTTTTAATGATCCTATTTGTCCCTTTTCGCTTTAGTTGTCTGTGCTTATAGAGTATTATTCAAGAAATCTTTGCCCAGTCCAATGTCCTAAAGAGTTTCTTCAAGGTTTTCTTCACAATTCAACAAGGGATTTTAGTTTCATAGTTTGAGCTCTTAGATTTAAATCTTTAATCCACTTTGATTTGATTTTTAAATATATATATAGAGAGAGGTGGGGTCTTGCTATGTTGCCCAGGCTGGTCTCAAATTCCTGGCCTCCAGTGATCCTCCTGCCTTGGCCTCCCAATATACTGGAATTACAGGTGTGAGCCACTGTGCCTAGTCTAATTTGATTTTTGTACATGGTGAGAAATAGGGGTCTAGTTTCATTCTTCTGCATATGGATACCCAGTGTTCCCAGCACCATTTATTGAAGAGACTGTCTTTTCCTCTATGTATGTTTTTGGCAACTTTATCAAAAATGAGTTCACTGTAGGTGGTCGGGGATGGCTGCTCATACCTGTAATACCAGCACTTTGGGAGGCTGACGCAGATGGATTACTTGAGGAAGGAGTTTGAGACCAGACATGGCCAATATGGTGAAACCCCATCTCTACTGAAAAACACAAAAATTAGCTGGGCATTGTGGTGGGTGCCTTATTCCCAGCTACTTGGGAGGCTGAGACAGGAGAATCACAAGAACTTGGGAAGCAGAGGTATGCAGTAAGCCAAAATCATGCCCCTGGACTCTAGACTGGGCAATAGAGCAACACTCTATCTCAAAAATAATTTTATAATAAATAAACACTTGAGAAAACGAGTTCACTGGAGGTGTGTAAATTTGTTTCTGGGTTCTGTATTCTTATTCCATTGGTCTATGTATCTTTTTTCATGCTGGTACCATGCTGTTTTGGTTACTATGTCTCTGTAGTATAATTTGAAGTCAGGCAATTTGGTTCCTCCAGTTTCATTCTTTTGCTCAGGATAGTTTTAGGTATTCTGAGTCTTCTGTGGTTCCATATAAACTTTAGGATTGTTTTTTCTATTTCTGTGAAAATGTCATTGGTATTTTGACAGGGATTACATTTACTCTGTAGTTTGCTTTGAGTAGTATGGACATTTTAACAGTACTGATTCTTCCAATCCATGAACATGGAAAATCTTTCCATTTTTTTCTGTCTTTTTCAATTTCTTGCATCAGTGTTTTATAGTTTTCATGATAGGGATCTTTCACTTCTTTGATTAATTCCTAGGTATTTTATTTGTAGCTTTTTAAGTGGGATTACTTTCTTGATTTCCTTTTTCAGATTGTTTTCTGTGGCATTTTTCTGTGCTAATTTTGTGTCCTGCAACTAACTGAATTTGTTAATCAGTTCTAATACTTTTTCGGCACTGTCTTTAGGGCCTTCCAAATATAAGATCATATCATCAACAAACAGGGATAATTTGGCTTTTTTCTTTTTATTTTGGATGCCCTTTGCTTCATCCTCTTGTCTGACTGCTCTAGCTAGGACTTTCAATACACTGTTGAATAACAGTGGTGACACTGGACATCTTTGTTGTGTTCCAAAAAGGAAAGGCTTTCAAATTTTCCCCATTCAGCATGATTCTAGCTGTGGGTCTGTCATATATGGCTTTAATTATGCTGAAGTATGTTCCTTCTATCCTGTTTTTTGAGGATTTTTATCACGAAGAGCTACTGAATTTTATCAAATGCTTTTTCAGCATCAATTGAAATGATCATATGCTTTTTGTCCTTTATTCTGTTTATATATCACATTAATTGATTTACATATGTTGAACCATCTTTGCATCTCAGGGATAAATCCCACTTGGTCATGATGAATGATCTTTCTTATGTATTGTTGAATTCAGTTTGCTGGTATTTTTTTTAATTTTTTTTTTTTTTTTTTAAGATGGGGTTTTGCGACCGGTGCTCCTCGGGGCAGGTGGCTGCAGAGTTGTGGAGGAGGTGACCAAAGCCACATAATGTCCGTAGTTCATTCATCCGTCCATGCCAAATGGCTCATGGGGAAGGTGATTGGGACAAAAATGCAAAAGACTGCTAAAGTGAGAGTGACCAGGCTTGTTCTGGATCCCTATTTACTAAAGTATTATAATAAGCGGAAAACCTACTTTGCTCACGATGCCCTTCAGCAGTGCACAGTTGGAGATATTGTGCTTCTCAGAGCTTTACCTGTTCCACGAACAAAGCATGTGAAACATGAACTGGCCAAGATCGTTTTCAAAGTTGGAAAAGTCATAGATCCAGTGACAGGAAAACCTTGTGCAGGAACTGCCTACCTGGAGAGTCCACTGAGTCCAGAAGCCACCCAGCTAACCAAAAATCTGGAAGAACTCAGTATCTCTTCAGCACAGTGACCGGGGGAGTGGAAGAAGGAGCTAAAGGGAAAGATTGCCATGCTTATGTTACGGAAAAAGAATGTTTTCTGTTTCATCTCAAAAAAAAAAAAAAAGATGGGGTTCTACCATGTTGGTCAGGCTGGTCTTGAACTCCCAACCTCAGGTGATCCACCCGCCTTGGCCTCCAAAGTGCTTGGATTACAGGCGTGAGCCACCACACCTGGCTTTGCTAATATTTTGTTAAGGATTTTTCATCAACATTCATCAGAGACACTGGCCTGTAGTTTTCTTTTTTTGATGTGTCTTTTTGGTATCAAGGTAATACTGGCATCACAGAATGAGTGTGAAAGTATTCCTTCCTCCTCTATTTTTCAGAGTAGTCTGAGTATGATTGGTATTAGTTCTCCTTTGCAGGTTTGCTAGAATTCAGTAATGAAGCCATTGGGTCCCAGGCTTTTCTTTAACTGGGAGACTTTTTATTATGGCTTCAATCTCATCCCGTGTTATTGGTCTGTTCAGATTTTGGATTTTTTCATGGTTCAATCTTGGTAGGCTGTATGTGTTTAGGAACTTATCTGTGTATTCTAGGTTATCCAATTTATTGACATATAGTTGCTCATAGTAGCCTCTAATGATCCTTTGAATTTCTGCAGCATCAGTTATAATGTCTCTTTTCATCTCTGAGTTTTTAAATTTAGATCTCCTTTCTTCTTAATCTCACTAGAGGGTTGTAAATTTTGTTTATCTTTTCAAAAAATCAACTTTTCAGGCTAGGCACAGTGGCTCACACCTGTAATCCCAGCACTTTGGGAGGCCGAGGTAGGAGAATCACGAGGTCAGGAGTTCGAGACCAGCCTGGCCAACATGGTGAAACCCTATCTCTACTAAAAAAAAAATATAAAACTTAGCCAAGTGTGGTGGTGTATGTCTATAGTCCCAGCTACTTATGAAACTGAGGCAGAAAATTGCTTGAACCCAGGAGGCAGAGATTGCAGTGAGCTGAGATCGCACCAATGCACTCCAGCCTGGGCGACAAAGTAAGACTATGTCTCAAAAAAAAAAACCAAAAACCAAAACCAAAAAAACGGGGCTGGGCACCAGTGACTTACCCCTGTAATCCCAGCATTTTGGGAGGCCAAGTCAGGTGGATCACCTGAGGTCAGGAGTTCAAGACCAGCCTGGCCAACACAGTGAAACCCTGTCTACTAAAAATACAAAAAATTAGCTGGGTGTGGTGGCATGAGCCTGTAATGCCAGCAATTTGGGAGGCTGAGGCAAGAGAATTGCTTGAACCGGGGAGGCAGAGGTTGCAGTAAGCCGAGATCACACTATTGCACTCCAGCCTGGGCCACAAGAGTGAAAAGATGCCTCATTGTGTTGTTTGATTGATTGATTTTTTTTTTTTTTTTTTGAGACAGAGTCTTGCTCTGTCACCTAGGCTGGAGTGCAGTGGCGTGATCCTGGCTCACTGAAACCTCCATTTCCCGGCTTAAGCAATCCTCCAGCCTTAGCCCCCTGAGTAGCTGGGACCACAGGCATGTGCCACCATGCTTGGCTAATTTTTGTGGTTTTTGTAGAGACATAGTTTCACCATGTTGCCAGGGTGGTCTTGAACTCCTAAGCTCAAAGAGATATGCCTGCCTAAGCCTCCCAAAGTGTTAGGATTACAGGCAGAAGCCACTATGTCTGGCCTGACAGTACATTATTAATCCTCATACAACTCTATGTTCTTCTATAATAGGTGAAATCATTCTGTGAAGCAGGATTTGTCATCCTGAGTTCATCAAACCAGAATGTGAAATGAAGAATTTCTGCAAACTCTTTAGCAAATGCCTGTTGATATGCTAGACGCTGGGTGGAAGAATATGGGTTACTTGCCAAAACTCCCTGAAGACCTTTTAATGCTGCTTCTAACCACTGAGAACATCCATACAATTTCTTTAATTTGCCTGCCAGTGGAACAAATGCACCCCCATGCCTTCTCTTGCAACTTTTCATCTGCTGGCTGCTGGATTGCTTCTTGCATTTCATGGTCAGCTCCTCTGAATGATTGTAAGTCCTCCGAGATGCCATTTGCATCTTTCAATACTACATTCACCTAATTATAAATTTCCTTCTCAGACTCTATAGGCTAGGCATTTTCAGGCACTGCTCATAATTCTATCCTTATCCTCTTATCCTCCTCTTGAGCCTTCAGGCACTCTCGGCCTCTCTCCTCTGCCCTCCAGGAGCTGAGCTGCATGCACAAGGTGGCTCCTCAGCAGTGCTAGGGAAAGCCCCAGCCTGGAACTAGGGAGCAGTGGCACTAGGACTAGGAGACCCTCCAGACATGCCCCTGTGGTGAACTGCAACAAAAATATTACCATTTGTGGAGCACATAATAATGGCATAATAGACACCAAATATAAATCACCCCATTCATTCTTCATAACTCTTTAGAAAATAAATTCATTTTTTTAATCTCATTTTCTCTTTCTTGTTCATACATGAGAGCACATGCACATAAAACCACAGCAAATATAGCTATCACAAAAGTATGCATTCCCTAAGACTCCCAACTTAATAGCAACTTGGGCGTAGATCTTCTACTCTACTATTTTTTTATTATCAAAAGTTAGGCATTTGCAGGCACAGAAAGACAAATGTATTATGTTCTCACTCATTATGTGGGAACTAAAAAATGATCTAATGAAGGCAGGAACTAGAATGACAGTTATTCTATAAGAAGCTGTTAAGGATGTATGAACTTACAATTAGACATAAGGAGTAATTTCTAGTGTTTGATAACATAGTGGGGGGACTAGAGTTGACAATACATTGCATGTTTCAAAATAACTAGAAGATTTGAAATGTTCCCAACACAAAGAAATGATAAATGTTCAAGATGACCAATAACTGAAATTCCCTTACTTGACCATTACATAATGTATGCATCTATCAAAATACCACATGTATTCCATAAACATGTACAAATATTATGTATCAATTTTAAAAGTTAGGCATTTGACTTTGAACCTTTTTGGAAATTTTGTATTTTCAACTTACAAGAAACCGTCTCTTGCTTTCATGTATCTCTTCTTTTTTCTTTTCTAGTTTTTTTCTCATTTCGATTTCATATAGTGCATTCTGTCGCTTTATTTCCTCAGCATCTTTTTCTTCATGTTTTTTCCTTCTTTCCTCTTCTTCCTCATGTTCCTTTATTCTAAAGCAAAAACATAATTATAATTGAGAACAAAGAAGAAAAATAGGTTATATTTTCAAGAAATGAATTCAATTCTAACCTTGAATGATTTGAAGCTGCAAGGAAGAACTTGTTAATTTCTTTGGGGGATGGCTCAAGCCTGTAATCCCAGCACTTTGGGAGGCCAAGGCAGGTGGATCACGAGGTCAAGAGATCGAGACCATCCTGGTCAACATGGTGAAAGCCCATCTCTACTAAAAATACGAAAAATTAGCTGGGCATGGTGGCGCATGCCTGTAATCCCAGCTACTCAGGAGGCTGAGGCAGAATTGCCTGAACCTAGGAGGCGGAGGTTGCGGTGAGCCGAGATCGCGCCATTGCACTCCAGCCTGCGTAACAAGAGCAAAACTCTGCCTCAAAACGAAACAAAAAACAAAAAATAAAAAAATTTCTTTGGGGGAAAAGAACAGACATTAAATAGTAGTAATAGTAAACTAATCCAATCTCGGTTAACCTACAACTGGCAATACTTTCCTTTCCTCAAAATTTATTTCATTATTCACCCAAGTAAGTGTTCCTTTCCTTTAGAAAGAACCAGTTAATGGAATGACAGTAAGAAGAAATGGTGACATTATTTTACAGAAAGTTCCTAATCCCTAGTGCTTCCCAACTTCAGCCCTAGGTGACGCTACATAAACAGTGGGCCTAGCCTCTCAATGAACGGGGTTTGATGGAATGAGAGGAAGACAGGTCTCTTTACTCAATTGACCACTGGGGTTGTAATGCTTTCTCTAGCCAATACCGACAAGCGGATAATTTCTTCTGAGTGATGAACCTTCCTGGCTCTTTCAGAACTTATATGTGAGTTCTTCAGAGATCCTTGAGGGTCCTCCTCACTGCAGAGTCCTGATCTGGAGAATTTAGCTCCTGCTGCATCTCTTCAACTTGTCCATAAACCCCACCACCATCACTAGCAGGAGCTCCCACTATCAGTTTATTACAGACTCCAGGTCTCAAAGGCCCCTCATCTGGCTGTCAAACCTCTACATACTGGTAAGACAGCACAAGTCCAAGTTATCTGCTTGTCCATGGAAAACACGTGCATCCTTGTTAGCCAATCAACAAGTATACAGGCTTTCTCACTACTCTATCTGCCCTCTCTCTTGCTCTTTTTTTTTTCCTGAACAGGTAGGCACAATATAGATCGACGACCTACCTAAATAGATGAATGACTAAGAAATAAACCTTTTTTTCTTTAAAAAAAAAAAACAAAAACTTTTTTCTATAGAAATGGGCTCTTGCTATGTTGCCCAGGCTGGTCTCAAACTCCTGGTCTGAAGCAATTTTCCCGCCTCAGCCTCCCAAAGCATTGGGATTACAGGCCTTAGCCAATGTGTCCAGCCAACCTTTCTTTCACATGCACCCAGTTGAGAAAACATTTTTTTACTGAAGTCTCCTCACTTAGCTTCAGGGAAGGGAAAATTTCCTTCCCCTATGCCATGGAGGACCATACAGTTAAGTGAGCCAACATGTTCACTTTGTTACTGTTAAGCCAATCAGGACAGGAGATTCCTACTTGATTAATCTGTGCAGAATAATAAGCTTTAGGGTCAGAGTCACTCTCTTTAGGAGGATATAAGAAAAAGATTACTGCTGGCCAATGAGAAACAAAGTTTATCATTGACCTAAAACACCCCTCAAGTTTCCAAAATTTTGTTAGAACTATTTAATATTTTATATCTACCAATCTCCTAGAAGCGAACTCACAAGTCAACAGTCAAGATTTGAAGAACATGGTCTGGTGTGGTGGCTCATGCCTATAATCCCAGCACTTTGGGAGGCCAAGGCAGGCAAATCACCTGAGGTCAGGAGTTCAAGACCCGCCTGGCCAACACAATGAAACCCCAACTCTACT